TCCAAAGATCATGTTGACGCTGCAATATCCTTTGCGATCACGACGCCTTTTTCCTTGTTCCCCTTGACTTTTCTCCTGTGCGGGAGCAAAGTTGTCAATATACTCTTTGAAATGTCCTTTCTTGATGAGTTATTCGATTGCCTGTTTGAGAGCTCGGTACTCATCAGTATGGTGCCCATTATCCCGATGAAAGCGGTAGTACTTTTTACTATTTCTGGCTAATGGGGGATTTTTCATGGGCTCAGGCTCTCCGAGCAGGCTGGCCTCCTCTGATTTATCAAGAATAGCCGAGACAGATGTATTTAGAGGCGTTTATTGATCTCTGTCGCGATCGTGACGAAGAACATGAGCATAAGACTTTTTGGGCTCGTAGCGAGGTTTCTTTCACTTTCGCTGATCGTCAGTAGCCCATCTGCGATCAGTTCTCCTACTTTTCCCCTGACCACGAACTTCCTGATGCGCCAGTATTGCGGCGGTAGAGCGATACCACTGAATTTTCAATTCTAAGGTACTTCTCCGCAAGGTTGTAGAATTGGGTGAGGGAAACATCGTCCTCAGCCTGTAGCTCTTTCCACAAGTCGGTTCGTGGACGAACTCCCGTTATGATGAGAGTCCGAACAGACTCTTCGGGAGTATGAGCTACCTTGTTGAGTTCTCTGTGAAATCGGTCAATGTAAGACTAGAGGGATTCGTCCATTTCTTGCCTTATATTGCTGAGGTAGCTCAAAGGCATTGAGAACTTTTGGTTTGCTTGGAAATGCATTAGGAATGTTGCGCTCATCTGAGGCCACGAACTGATCGATCCCGCTAGGAGCGACCTGAACCACCGTCTGGCATGGGAGGTTAACGTCACTGCCAAGTAACGACATTTTGCTAAATCCGAGACCTGGTGAAGCTCTATTAGGTCATTGAATTCATATAAATGATCATGCGGATCAGAATTTCCATCAAACGCTCGTATGTCGGGCATCCTGAATTCTAGTGGGAGTGGAGCGGCTAACACTTCGGGAGAGAAAAGGGACACGGTTGCGACCTGCCCTTGCTCATTTTGCTGAGCTCTTAATCGGTCTAGAGCTCACTGCAGTTCTTCAATCTGAGGCAATGAAGCCACTTGGGGATTACTTTCACCCATGCGAGTTCGACCCTCGCGATTACGGTTAAGGAAAGTTCGGAGGTTGGATTCCTCTTCTCCTCAGCCGGCGGCCCCGACAATGGATGATGCGGGGTATTTTCAGGACTTTCGCGGTGGTACGAACCACCCCGTGAAGTGTGGGAACCTCCTGCCTGATGACGATCAGGATTGTTTTGCTGGTGGTGATAAGAATCGCCCCGCCCAGCACTTTTACGGGGGTGTACCTACGACGTGGCACGTGACAGCTCGAGCTGCGTCCTTTCACTGAGCCTTAACGCCACTAGTATTCTGCTTGGGAAACGGTTGGAGTTCTCTGGCCCTTTGGAGCCCGTAGGCCCCTTTTTTGCCACTTGATTACCCTTTCGTCGACATGCTGCAGTGCTCACGGCATGGGCTATCTCCCTTTGCCGCGCTTTCGCGCGACCTGTAGGCATTTTTGACGGTTGCACCGCCCCAGCTGATTTGGTTGGCACGCCTTAGTCCAAACGGTCCAACCTTCGGTTGACCGTCTGGAGAGTATTGTCGAACCTCTCCAGGTAGCTTCTAATGGCAGGGTCAAGTTGTGAACTTGATGGGATATCCCCCACAGCATTTTGCGGAACTGAAGGTATTTTGGAAAAGGTGTCCCCTTGGACTTGGGGGATCCCCTCAGCACCCTAGTTGGTTCGCTCAAGTTCAGGTTGGCGGGGCATTTGCTGCTGTAGGACCGGTAAGTTAGAGATTCTCCTGATGAAGGATGAACACTAGATCAGGCCTTCTTTCTAGCACCAAACTGTTGATGCGTGATTTTTACACAAACTAAACGCACGTGTGTAATACTGAGCTGGTCTAGAAGACACACGTAAATGCAAGAAAAATGAGAATAAATGCAATGGGAACAACTTTTAAAGTGGTTTGGATGCTAAGGAAGCAAATCTTACGTCCACTGATGTTTGTATTAATGATAAAGGTCAGGTCGTGTTAGCGAACTGACTTACAAATGACTTATAAAATGATGGTACAAGAGAGAGAATGCTATATATTCTTGGGAGAGAATAGCGAATCCCCTCAATGAGAGAGGAGCCCTCAATTTATAGTGGGATGGGTTAAGATTATCATTACTGAATCTGTGAGTTGGTGGGATTATCCGTGCAAATCCCTCTTTATGTCACATTGCCCACCTTCTAGAGTGATTTACGAAATTTGGAGTAGGGATTGGACACGTGGGAGCACCACAACTTCTGGTTTGTCTGGCATACACCCACTATTCTGACAAAAGCATGATGCTCCTTTTCCCATGCGACTCGGCTGCGGGTGCACCTATGCTCTGACTTTTTGCACGCTGACTGAACCTTACGTCAGCCCTGCATTCAGGCATAACAATGATAAAGAAATATCAAATTAAATTCAACTTGATGAAGGAGAGGTTTGAAAGATGGATGGCAAGAGTACGTGGTAAACCATATGCTGCCGAAGATGAATGGAAACAACAATTTGAAACCATTCATAAGAATACTCCTAAAAGAAACTCATTTTATTGCTTTTAAAAGTTTCCCCATTACAAGATCCATATTCTGTAAACATAAACATCAAAGAAACCTTATAATATTAGTATTAATTCGGATCCCCTGCATTTAGGAATAGGATGAACTAATAAAAGTTGTCACTAAATTTTCATTTTTTTTTTGACCAGGTGTTTGCTGTGTCGTTTTGGGATTCCTTGTTGGCGGCACTAATTAATGACGGTCAAATTTTTAATAATTTTGTTTTAATGTATAATTATCAAAGAGTAAAAGAGCTATGCTAATGTTCTTAATACTGCTTTTCTCGAATAATTACCTCATTAATCCTCAAATCAAATATTAGGATGTGGATTTCTATTACCATTTTCATTATATTTTCTGTCAACCAAACAATATTCAGTTTCTTCTGACCATAAATCAAGAACAAATAGTATAATTTCCTTTTGTTTAAGGAGCAATTCTCTCGCGTATTTGATGCATGTACAATCGTTGTTTGTCACATATGTGCAATGACATGACGCACCTTTATTAAATGATTGTATGTACATCGGCAGAAAAACTTATATGCAATAGTCTCACCATCTCATTATGTTGACGTGGTATAACCATCCAATAACATATTAATGCATTTGTTAGTTGTAAAACTTATTTTTTAATCACAATTACTTTTGTCTTTTTTAACTATAAAAATAATTAGCTCATGTTTGTTTCACTCTTTATAATTATTTTTTTGTTATTCTATTTGGATTAAGAAAATAAGATATATGTTTGTTTACCACTTTACTTGTTGAGGTCATTATTCTGAAAATTAATCCTAATCAAATAAAATTTTTTTCTATTCAAAATGAAAAGAAGGAGAGGGACACTTGTTTTCTATTATCATATTCTATTCAACTCAAATAATTTAGATTTTTTTAACCTCTTACATTTGTTAATTTAGCTAAACACCCCTACAATAAAAGTTTAAAAATTAGCTATAACACCCAAGATAGCAACCACCGCTGACCGCCGTTGCTGCTGCCAGAATGATGCACGATTGTCCGGACTTGGCCAGTTGTATGTCGATCTTGCCGTTTTCAGCCAAATCTACGGCTAGAGATCTAGTTGTTGACGACGACTAGATTTTGGCCGTTAATGACGACCAGATTGCCATTGATGATGGCCAGATTTTCAAAAAATGTGGGGGGTGTTTTAGTTAATTTTTAAAGTTTTGTTGTGTGAGGTGTTTCGTTAAATTAATAAATGTAAGGATTTAAAAAATAATCTAAATATTTTCAGAAAATATTTTCCAAAAATATAGCAAACAATTATATAGCATTTTATTAAACGCTAATATAATTTTAAGATATTATACCAAACACATTCTCAGAATTCTATCCTATTTGATTGAGTCCAACTCGACTCAACTTAAAATAATTTTTCAGAAAATAATTTTTCAAATAATCTACCAAACAAGCCCTTAAGATTTTTACATAGCTTCCATTTTCTCTCTCACCTTCCTCTCATTGTCGATCAATTTACTATTATAAAACAATTTTCCTTTTGTCGTTTGTTGCTTAAGTTCATCATTCTTTATCAAGTCGTGAGTGGTCGTCAACTCTCCGGAAGCCTCTAATACTACGATCTCTCTTTATTCAACCAATTAAAACATATGAAGTACTTCATTACAACATTCTTTTACACTATCTCGTTAAAGACTTAACTATTCAAGTAAGCCTAACTCATTAAGGATTCATCTTATTTTAATTATGGCTTACTCGTCAAGGACTGATATATATTCCTAATCAACGAATACGCCTTGATCGGCATTATATTAGACTCGGAGTAAAATTTATTAGGAGAAAACTTTCCAGATATCAAAATGAAGAAGACATGGTAAAACGTAAGTTAAAAAAAAAAAAAATGGCCAACTAAGAACACATGTTGGTATATTACTGAATGGTCTTAACACTATGGTGAAACTATTCTATATAAGTTTTTCTCGAATTAATCCTGTTTATGATAGATTTGAATTTCTTTCATTATATTTCATATTATGTTCCCTTGAACCATATTTCCACCCTTCATAATTGTAACAAGTACTGCTAGCTTAAATGCTCAAATGTAAAATGGAAACTATGGAACTGAACAAGATCTTATTTGAATTAACAGAACAACTTCCATATGTATTCTCAAATGTTTTTCTAGCTAAAGACGTGGAGATACTAAGAGGCACGCATTTGTCTTCGACAACGCAATTGCAATTAAGTCGGCCCAAAATTTTCATGGTGTGAACATGGGCCTAGTAGTGGCCCAATCCATAACAAAGAAGACGATTAAAGGTGAACTGATAATTGCAATTACAATTACGTTACGCCATAATGTACTAATTATGCTGCAATGCTACAGCTAACACTCTAATTAACCAACCGAATACTTCTTATTTCCGTAGTAACTAAGGAAACCTGAACCAAAATTCATTCAAATCATTTACTCCAAAACCCCAACAGCAAGCCAAAACCAAGAATAATTGCCTAAACTCTCAACAAATTTATTTCCTTCAACCTTCCTTTTTGCGATGAATAAGTCGCAGTATATGGATAAGCAGATAATGGATTTGACATCGTCCCAGATTGGCACTAGCGCCAACAAAGACAAGGACAAAGACTTCATCGATCTAATGAACAATCCGCAGCACGAGGAGGAAGATCATGATTTCAATAATGGGATTGGGATTGGGATTAAGAAAGAAGAGATCGTACCCAGTTACGATTTTCAGCCGATTCGTGGCGGATTGTCTCAATCGCTTAATTTTGATTCTGCCTCTACTGCTAGGGTTTGGAATTCTGCTGATAATAAACCTAAATCTCCTATCAGAGTAATTTACTTCTCTCCCTCTTTCTGTTTGTTTGTATTTGAACTGGGTTTTGATTGTTTTTGGTTTTGTTTGAGTTATAGTGGGTTGGATTGATTGATTAATTTGGTGGTTGAGTTTGTGCTGATTAAATTTATGCTTTGAAGGTTTTACTTTGTTAAATTGCCGGATGCTTTTTTGTAAGGCTTGTGAGCTAAGGACAGTACATTAGTAACATTCGACATGGACTTGGTTACACCAATTGACTTTGGATGTTAAAGTTTGGTAATGTTATCGGGATTTTGCTACCGGTAACAGAGTATTTCAAATTCGTTGATTGTGTTACTTTTGTAATAATCAGTGTTGGAATTGCTGGTATCTAATTGTCGATAGAGCTGAAATGAACACAATAGTTCAGGATTTGTTTATCTTAATTATTTGCGAGGCTCCTGACTGTGTACTGTGAAGAAAGCTTTTTAGGAGTATTTTAGCATAGTAGTTGCCATCTTTATGATTCACACCTAACATACATTATTGAGACTTTGATTTTCTTGTCACCTGAGCCAAATGGAGGTCTCAATCTCATCACTATGTGTATTTGAGTGTTTATTTATTTATTTTAATAAAAAACAGTGAGATTTACATGATATACATACGAGTTATTTGTTTAGTTTTGTCATTTTCATATATTGAAATTTTTAGTTACTTTAGACTTTCTTTTCTTCACTGTGCTATTGATATTTTCTTGTGAGTTCTGGTATTTTATTGCTTGGGAGGGGAGGCAATTGTGATGGAGTTTGTATTTAACTATATCTGCATACTTCTTTGTTCTGCACAGAATTATAGCTCTCTCGAATCAGCTGAACCTGCAAAAGTCATTTTGGAGAAGGACCGTAATTCTTCAGATGGTACTATAGTGTCAGAGATTGATCGAACGGTGAAGAAGTATGTTGATGATATACTGCATGTACTAGAGGGTGTCAGTGCACGAATAACTCAGTTGGAGACAAGAACCCGCAACCTTGAGAATTCTATTGATGATTTGAAGGTATCTGTTGGAAACAATCATGGAAGCACTGATGGAAAAATGAGGCTGATGGAAAATATTCTGAGAGAGGTATCTTCTTCACTGTCCCTTGTTCACTGCCTTGGGTAATTAGTTAGAATTAGGTGCATCTTATCAGAAGGTAGAATTACTTGTATCTTATGCAAAAAGTGAGAATTTATATATCTAATCAGAAAGTAGAATTAGGTGCTTTGGTTGATGGCATATGTTCACTTGATTAGAAATTCAGAATTCTCACTTCAAATGGCCCTCTGTTTCTAATGAATTTTAAGATTTGTGCTTAAGTGGAAAAGGGTTGTTGGATTGTTTTTTTCTTGGAGGGTTTTTGTAGTAAGGATTAGTCACATATCAGTAAAGGCTTAGTTAGACAAATATCAGCACATGCATGGTTGTATAAATTTTGTCCTCTTTATGGCTTTTTGAATCCTGGACACTGGTCTACTTTTGTAATTATATTCTTCCCTAAGACAACTTTTCTGTTTCCTGTCATTCGGAAAAGAAAAAAAAAAAGCTCAAATAATAAGAAGGATGATGTTTTACAAGTCTAAGCAACATTTAACTATCCTGATTTCAAGTCATGTGGCAAAGTGCTCACTTCTTTTAATTTAACAAAACGTTTAACTTCAACGTCCTCAAGTGTGCCATTGTCTAGTTGGGATCAGCTTTCCTGAGTTCTGGGCCGCTTAATTTATTGTATGATGCTGATAGATAGATTCTTTGGAAACAAAATGTCTTAATTGATACCTGAAGGCCCTAGGTATGTGAATCTCAAAAAATTGCCTCACCACTTCATGCTGATTCTTGTTAACTTTTTATTTCTCAAAAGAGGCCATCTTTCAATCTTATCAGATCATATAATTTGATATTGAGTTAATCCTCACCACTTCTATGTCTAAATTTGTCATCTTTTTCCCCCTTTGAGAACCTAAAAATTGATATAAAAAGAGATCTGGGCTTTGTGAAAGCAGGAGCAGCCTTTTGTTGCTTCATTAAGCGCTAGGATATTGAATTCTTGTGGGGTGAAAGCTTGATTCATCATCCATTCCAGCTTATGTTTATATTGCTAAATTGATCATAATGTGTGTGCATTTGGTGTTTGTCATCAATCAAATGCAGGTACAATCAGGGGTCCTGGTTTTGAAGGATAAGCAAGAAATAGCGGAGGCTCAGCTACAGTTTTCAAAGCTGCAAGTGTCAAAGGTAGATCAGCAGTCAGAAAGCCAGAGCACTGGTCATATAGATGCTGCGCAGCAAGTAGCATCTGCTCCCTTGCAATCTCACCTACAGCCTCCTCCTCCTCCCATTACTTTTCCACAGTCAGTTCCTCCTCCTCCTCCCACTGTTGTTCCTCCTCCACCTGCCCCCCAAAAGAATGTGCAACCTCCAGTTCAGCTCCCAAGTCAGTTCCCTCCAAGCCAGATTCCTTCAGTTCCTCAGCGAGAAACTTATTTTCCACCCCAGGGTCAAACTCAAGATGCGCCAAATCAACAATACCAAGTTCCTCCAACTCAGCTGCAACACCCTCCTGCAGCAGCACCACATCAACCATATCAACCTCCACCACAACCACAGTACTCTCAGCCACCCCACCCCCCTCAACTTCAATCTTCACTAGGCCACCTTTCTGAAGAGACAACTTACATTCCTCCTCAGAACTATGCACCGAACCTTCGCCAGCCTCCTTCTCAGCCACCAAGTTCCCCTCCCTCCCAGCAGTATTATGGGGCTCCTCCTCCTCCTCCTTCCCATATGTATGAGCCACCATCCAGCAGATCCAGTTCTGGGTTTCCTACAGGTTATGGGCCACAATCTGGGCCTAGTGAACCATACCCCTATGGTGGACCACCTTCTCAGTACGGTAGTGGTTCCACAATGAAACCACAACAGCTCCCTACTGCCACACCACAGAGTGGTGGCAGTGGCTATCCTCAGCTCCCAACTGCTCGTGTGTTACCACATGCACTTCCTACTGCTTCTGGGGTTAGTGGTGGCTCAGCTTCTCCAGGAACTGGAAATAGGGTTCCTGTGGATGATGTGGTTGACAAAGTGACAAGTATGGGATTCCCCAGAGACCATGTTAGAGCAACAGTTCGCAAGCTGACAGAGAACGGTCAGTCAGTTGACTTGAACATAGTGCTGGATAAGCTAATGAATGGTGGGGAAGTCCAACCTCAGAGAGGTTGGTTTGGTGGGTAGCATGGTATCCTTTATTCATACTGATGTATAGAGTTACTACTTTCTGGATGATTTGCTGAGAAGAACTGTTGCATGGAATTTGGGGTTCTCTACCCTTTGGATTTCTCGGTTGCTTTTATTTCGATTTTTTTTTTGTTTGGTCACTTTGGAGCTGTTTATCTTGCTGATCAGACTTTGGTTTGCGTAAGCCTTTCTTCATTCCATTTGTGTATACTAACAATAATTTGAAGTGCATTATTCTCATTTAATTGTAAACTGTGATCTACTGGTAGAGTAACAGGATAAGATTTAGCTCTTTGAAATGGACCTTCCAATGAATGAAGACAAGAATATAAATTCAGGATTGGAAGAATAAGATAGGAAGTTGCTGTTTTGAAAAAGTGCCAGGCAGGTTGAATTGGCAATGAATATTAGAATTCCTCTGGCAAATGAAATTATTCTATTGTGTTCTATTCGACAACTAAATCTAATATGAGATCATTCTGTTCCTATTATATTATAGATAAATCATGCATAATAAACATGTAGAGAGTAAAAAGAGTATTAAATTAGAATTTAACCAAGTTAAACAATGCTATATATATTCTCTGTTCTTATATTGCTTGTAAGTCATTGGACCAACACTACTAGAATGTATATGGAAACTATATTTACTTATAAATATTAGAATTGATCGACTTTGTAATAGATCTCGATTACAAGTGTGTTTGACACTACTTTTATACCAAAGAAAAGTAAAAGAGCAATTCTTGAAAAAGAACTCAGACACAAGTATCTATTATCTATTTAGTTGTATTTCTAAGATGTATTTAAGCGTGTTTTTATAAAAAGAAAAATCATATATAAGGAAATGTTTTTATTTCATTAAAACAATATAAACATAAATACATAAAACATATCTTTTAAGAAACTATTTGAAACTACCTAAAACATTCCCCACTGGATTATTAATTTCAATTTTTTTTTCATTTATTATTATCAAAATGACCACCATTAAATAATCCCTAATAAAATGAAACATACAAACCCATATGAATTGTAAAATTTGGTAATAATTGTGTCCACCATAAATTAAATAATTAAATAATTACCAAATAAGTCCATTCCCACATTAAAAGAAATGATTTGGCTCAGTTACTCGGTAGAACGACATTATATATATTAATATATGCATATATAGCTTAAGGGCCTTTATGAATTTAAGAGAACCCATGGGATTAAACTAAACTTTTCCCTTCCCGTTAAAGGGCCTTAATGAATTTATGAGAGAACTCGTGGGAATAGAGTATAATTTTCCCGTTCTCGTTATCGTCCTCACTTGGTTTTATTATTTATTAAATTCATTTTCGGTACAGACCGTCGTCTCTCACCTGCAAAAATCCTGCGTTGCTCTTTTACAGCTTCAAACCCCAAAACAAACAAACAATTAAACAAAACAAACCAAAACTCACACTCACCAAAACCTTCTCTATCTCCAATTGCCCCCTTGGTTACCTCCTTATTTACGATCCTGCCCCTCCTCTCTGACGACAATTTTTTTTTTCTCTTCCCGAAATGCCCTCCTCCGCCGCCTGATTACGGTCCTCTCTATTCAACGCTCTCCCGGAATCAATTTCTAATTGAATGAAGGTGCTGAACGCCTTCCTTCATTCAATTCTTCTAGAAATTTCTGTAAGATATTTATTTATTTTCGCTTATTTATTTATTTTCATTCTACATTAATTCGTAATACTAGACCTAGCTTATTGTCTTTAATTTAATGATTTATGAAATTTTGTTGCCTAATTTCGTGAATTAATCCGTCTAGTCACTCATTTTGATGGTATATGTTTATGTGCATATCTCAATTTGTTAAAACAATCTTGTTGATTATTTTTTTACAGTTTAGGCTTTAATTCTTAGTTTATTTTATTTAATATTGTGTTTCTGAATATTTTTGTATGATTGTAGGTTCAAGTAGCTTCAAGATTGTTTTTAGAGATTGGAATGTGATTCTAGTTATTCATAAGTGTAACAAGTTTCGGTGCCGTTAGCAATCTTTGAATGTGCTTTGAAAAGCTGTTAGTTTTCGCGCGCGCGCGATCTTGCATCTTTCAAAGCTGGAGTATATTGACTTAGACTGTGTCTTGCTCAAGTGTAGTGTGTAAACATTTTTATACTAGGTAATTAGTTGTGTGTTATTATGTTTCAATCGATAGAAATTTGTGGTAATCGCAGTCATTTTTATATGTTTGGTTCTGTTTTTGTCAATGTCACTAATGAGAAGCTTACCAATAGTGTATGCTCCAAGTAGATATGCTTTTATTACCATTTATTTTATATACTCATTTCGGAATTGCGTCTCGTGTTTAAAAGGAGTGAATGGTGATGATTTTGTGTGTATTGTATCTTTATAAGGTTTGTCTTTAGCGGTGTCCACGTAGCTTGTCATTTGGGATATATGATTTTGGCCCTACTTTTGTGTACTTTTGTGTTTTGTTTTCTTGGGCATTGGTCGTATTCTTTGTGTAGTACAGATTATTGGATTTGTATTGTGTGTTTTATGATGCTAAGTTGTTATCTACCAAGAAAACGGCACTGGAAAACAAGTTTACTTGGTAGTGCTTTATTTAATGATCTGAGGCTCACTATCACTTAGATTTGGACTTGTGTTTTTTGTAAGGAATTCAATTGATTTTTACGTATTAGTTGATACTAATATAAGTTCGTCATGATTGATTTTTAGCATTTGTATTTGGTAACCTAATTATCAAGTTTGTCATTAGCATGATATGAACTGGCAAAAGCAAGAGTTGAGCTGTATGGACATTTGAAAACATGCTTTAGAAGCCTCAAGCATTGTCTCTTTTTAGTAGAACATTAATTGTATATTAGAAGACAAAACATTTTGAACCATATTTCCTTCCTAGTTGCTAAATTTTGAATTGGAACTGCAAAATGACATGAAAGTGGAAGAATGAAATTTTTTGCTGATATAAAGGGTTTTTTTATTTAGAGTAAAAAAATATTAAAGAGTATGTTAGACGTGGCTGTACAATGTTATTCTGGATGAAATCAAAATCTTGCTGCCTCATTTTTTCTTTCTGAGTAAGATGATATTGATTACACTGCAATAGTTGATTCGATATATTTTGAAGAGGTGCAATGACAATAAATGATGTTGGGCCTTCTAGTTCTTACTTACATCCGTTCTTTATTACCTTTCCCTACTTAGAAGAATTACTTCCCTAGTATTTTAAAGATGATAGTTTTTGCACGTATTAACTTAAAAATTTTGTGAAATACGTGTTTGTGGTTTGTTTTAATCTTGTAATTTATGGTATGAGTCTGAAGGAAAACATTATTACCTAAAACTTTCTATGATTTGCAATGTGAAATACTAGTGCTTTTTTTAATAAAATGACAATAGCATGTAGGAGGTTTTCCACTAGTTAAGGATGCATAACTTTGACTTACTGACATGGACACAACTAGTGTTTCGGACACTGATATTCAATGTATTATTGGAACAGTTGATTTATTGTATTAACACACTTTTGTTGTTGAGCAATAATATTTAAATTGATTTTGTATGTACAAGTTTTCTTTTTATTCCTTTTTAAAAATTTTTTATTTTTATTTTTTTATAAATAATGATGATAACTTTGGTGGATTAAGTATTTTATAGAAGTCTCATGTGGCATGTGACATAGTTGACTTTACCTGCCAATTGTTGATGTAAAACTTGGCCTGCATTGCATTGACTCTTACGGATTCCAAAACTTCTTCCCCCTGGCTTAAATGATTTACTTTTAACACGCTAGACATTCTCAAAAAATATTGAATGGATATATACATATAAATTTTCAAAGTAGCTCAGGGAAGTTTTTGTGACAGACTTGTGGATCTTTCTACACCTTCTTGAAGTACTAGAATAATTAATTTTTACTTATATGAAATGGCATCTTCGTGAACATATTTGCCTGAGTTCTCAACATTGTGGCACATGTTGGTTCTTTGCTTGCATATGTGCCTTGCTGATATGTGATGCAGTACACCTATATATTTATAACCTGTTAAGAGATTACAAAAAGATGCATTACAACTATAATGATTTCTGTTGATCAGCTGCATCAACCCTACTTGTCAAAAAATATAAAAAATGTTGCTTTCAGCTCTACGCCTTGATGATTTTAGAATAGCTTAATTGGGCTTTTGATTTAAGAATTAAATATTGTTACCAAGTGCCTACCCCATGCTGGTTTCAATTATTACGTGATAATTCTAAGACAGTGAGTAGCTGATTGATTATTGAAATTACATAAAGTTCTTGATTCAACATTTAATGGTAAACTACTCAATCACTGTGATATTTAGCAGGCAGTTTGTTGCCATCTCGGGCAAAGATCACCATGAAATACACGATATAAAAAAGAAAATAAAAATAAAAATATCATTAAGTACCCATAGGCAGCTTCACAGTGGGTATCCAGATTGCCCTGATCTAGACTTTATAAATATCAGTTTCTGAATACATTTTTCGGACCAAATCTGTTATATATTTTTCCGAGTGCAAAGAATAGGGACAATGAGTGATAACTGCTAAGTTGATGGAACTGTGGAAACTCTGAGTCAACCCTATAAAATATCTATAGCATAGTAGTCTAGACTCTATTGTTAATTTGTTGGTAGTTTCTTTGTATGTACTTGATTATTAGTGGGTAACTTTTGAATTAGATGATTGTTTATTAAAATTTTCTTGTATTGATTTAAAAAACACCTTCTTTGGAAGTAATAACTTGGTTATTACATGTAATTTATTAATTTAACAAGCCAGCTTTATCTTGACAAGCTATAAACTATAACGTTACTTTCCTGATGCACGGCAAATGTTAAAACGATTTCGGTTTTACAACTAAGTATACGTACATTGGACAACAGGAGCAATGAAATTTGAAAAGTTATTTCCCTGGAAAACCTGTATGGAAATGAAAACTAGCTCAGAATTAATAGATACTGAATATATAGTTTTCAAAGAGGTTTTTCTGTTAGAACCTATCTAAGATTTATGCAAAATTATCTTCTTTTATAGGTTCATCTACCATGAACTTACCATCTGCTGTTGACCCTTTATGTGTTCCAGTGTTCGTCTAAAGACCCCCGTTGGGAAGGAGGAAGATCCTGTTTCCATAATCATGTTTCCCAATTCTAGCACTTTGAATATTGATAGTTTGTTTAATATATTAAATGGTTTCATTTGCCTTCTAGAAACATTAGTGAAGTCTGTTTAATTTAAAATTCCATAATTGCTGCTAGTAGTACAAATGTTAATAAACAACCACATGACAAAGACTGTTGCACATTATGTTGAAAGAAAAAATCTGCTTTTTTATTTGATTAAACTTTTAGTATCATCAGTTTTTACCTTTCCTTTATCTTCTTCCCACTAAGACTCTCAGGTTCCTTAGCAACATTAGCTCTAGTATGTTTTGAGTTGAAGACGTAAGATACACAAATGATCAACTAGGGATAGTAAGAGATGACTTGGTTTAGTTTACCTTGTATATGTGGGGCATGCCGACAATTGTAGTTCTAATGCTAGTATTGTTCACTTCTTGAGTGACCCAAGTGTATTTTGGCTGTTAAGCAGTCTAAAAGCTAGTGATGAAACTATTCTATCGTGTCAAAGTTGAATGGTTAATAAGGGTGCACAGATTCTCTTGAATGATGGTGCAGTATCTGCATCAATTTTTTCATTTGTGGCAAAGATTGCATCAATTTTCTTCATGTTGTGGACAGTTTCCTGGTAAATCTGGAAGCTTGGGGCACAGGGTGGTTTGGGGATTGATTATCTGCTTTTTAATAGTTTTAACATCTTTTTTCTACTAGACATTCCTGTACTTTGGTATTTAAATGACCTCATAGACTTTATGTTTTTTCCTATTCCATTATCTCTTGCCACAGTAATCATGGTTGGTTGTACTTTGTATTTGATTGAATTTGATAATTTAGATTCACTTTAAGATTCACTTTTCTTAATATTTTGCTTTCTTGTATGCTTTTATGCTCATGGGTTTAGATTGATGCAAATGGATCATTGACAACTTTCAATTTGTTTATGGTGTAACATATTTCATCAATGAATGCTGTTTATCCATTATGATTGCTTACCTTGATCGTTTTTACTGTTTCTAGGTTTCCTCCAATTGCTGAACTTGTCCTGGCTACCAAAGTCGTTTTGTCGGTCTGTCTGGTCAGATTTTGGAGCTTTTGATGCAATAAAACAGCCTTTTATTACAAGAGGATTAAATGGAGCTAAAAGTTTCATCTCCTAAGCAAGCAAGTCTTTCTCCACCTGATTGTGTTAGTGATCCTGAAGAGAAGGAACTTAGTGATGAGGATGATGATGATCGCAACCATAAGCATCGTAGGCGAGAGACACGGTCCCAGTCCTTGGAGAGAGATTCTATGGAACAACTATATTCAAGGCCATATAGAAAGAGCAACAAACCTTTTGAAAATGGGCATCCTTTTAGGGAAAATGAATCTCAAGCTAGTGAATCCTGGAAAAGTTATAACATGTCTTCTTTAGAGAAAGATTTTACAGCAAAGTTTGAAAGAAAACGCCCTGGATTAGCGCCGCTATCCCGAGCACCTTTGGATTTAAATCAAAGAATGAGGGTAAACCAAACATATTATGGAGACCCTGGGCCTGGAAGGGGAAGAGGGAGGGATTCTGGTTCCTGGAACCAACGTGATTCTAGGTTCAGCTCTGTTGATATTGCTTCTCAAATGGTTCAGCCAGTGCCCGTTGCACCTAGTCTCTTTGCAGGAAGGGGCTTGCCTAATGTTTCTAATTCACAAAGTGCATCATGGAGTGCATATGGATTAATTCCAGGTTTACCAAATGGTGGCTTAGATACACTCCATTCCATTGGTTTGCAAGGGCCACTTAGACCGCCTTTGGGTTCTTCATTGAATATGGGCATTACACGTCAAAGGTGTAGAGACTTTGAGGAGCGTGGATTTTGTCTGAGGGGAGACATGTGCCCGATGGAGCATGGTGTCAATCGTATTGTTGTTGAAGATGTTCAGGTATGCATATTGTTAATTTTCTTGTTTCCAGGGAACATTGGCATTTTGACATTGCATGATACTCGGATGATTTTTTGGGTTAATTTCAAAATTTGGGTAAATGGAAAGAGGAAAGGGTTTTAGCAGTGCATCTCAGTCAGAACAGTATATTTTTCAGGGAATGCATATGTATTTTAGAATTATTTGTCCACTCTGGTTTTTGTATTTATAAAGTGTAGATCGTATAAAGTTGCTCATGATGATTATGATCCTTGCTATTTCCTGTTCAACACTTGCTAAATGGTCGGTAAGAGCAATTTCAAGTACATCAAAAGTGGATTTGATTTTCAAAAAATAATAATATGACTTATCCTACATTGGATATGTTGGTTCCAGTTATTTGGGTTTTCTCCTATTTCTTCAATGACTAATAGTCTTTGAATATTTAATTTGGAGGAGAAGCCCCTGGAAGATAGGCAAGCCGCAAGCCCTGTTGATCACCAATTGCTTGGTGCTTATGGGTCAAGTTTGTTACTTGAGTAGCATCAGATGTGCGGAATTGATGGAGACTTTTATACTAGATTATTCTGATCTCCTAGCCATTTGCTTGATTATCTGTAGTTACTGGTGAAATGTTCCCCTGGAGATTCATTTTCTAATTATATATATGTGTGTGTCAGTGTGTGTGTGTGTCTCTGATCATCTCTTCTATAATTAATGAATATACATTATATTTACTTTTTGAACAGATATATTTACTATTTTGTACATTAAATCGTGTGCTGAAATTTCTCCTGGCTGTGATAGTTATTTAATTACTGCAATCTCTTCTGCTTGGTTGTGGATTCATCTGTCTAATTTATTGCATTTTGATTTACAGAGCCTTTCACAGTTTAATCTCACTGTCCCGCTTCCAAGTGCACCACTATTGGCAACACCTGCTGGACCAGGACCTCTGCCTTCAGTTGGTGCTCCTTCAACTACATTGATGGGTACCAAAGGAGCTCATAGTAAAGGTAACAAGCCTGGAATTACTGATGATGGTTTGGGCTTAAATGGTGCATATTCAGATCCTGCTACTGCAGATGGAGCTGATTTGTATGATCCAGATCAACCCCTGTGGAATAAAAATGGTCTTGAAACATCATCTACACTTGCAGCGCTACAGTCATCTAATGATGAAACGGAACCTTTGTTAAATGACGATTCTTCTGATCTTCATCATGTCAGGTTCAGTGATGGTGTTGATAATGAATGCCCAATGAGAATCGCTGGGTCTGCTGGTGTTTCACAGAGCACAAGTCCATCTGTTTGGGGTAGAATTGGTGGTAAAAATAGATCAAATGTGAAAGAGAAAACTGATGCAACATTAAGTTCCTCTGATTATCTTGAGAATGAGACCAAGGAAGATAAAGATACGTTATCCAGCCTTCATGGTGCTTTCCGCAGAGGAAAGCGGAGTATTGACGAGGATGCTGGCTCAAAAGCTATGGATGCATCTGCCAAGATACAGATTGATACTATGCGTAATATCCGGAAACCATCACAAAAGGCGTTGCGTACCCTATTTGTCAATGGAATTCCCCAGAAAAACAATAGAAGAGAGGCACTTTTTTCACATTTCCGCAAGTTTGGAGAGGTGGTTGACATTTATATCCCATTAAATAGTGAGCGAGCTTTTGTACAGTTTTCCAAAAGAGAAGAGGCAGAGGCTGCTCTAAAGGCACCTGATGCTGTTATGGGTAACCGATTTATCAAGCTCTGGTGGGCTAATCGTGATAGCATATCAGATGATGGCATAAGCAGTGGCACCAGTGCATCTGTGACTCCTCGTGGTGTGACAACGGCTTCGGTCCCAGCCCATCTGTCTGTTGCTAACAAAGTAAAGGATAATAATCTTCAATCTGCTGCTGTGAAGGGTAGTACTGCCCCTGCTTCTGATGTTTCTCTGCCTGCCTCTGATCAGCCTTCACCTGTCATTGCAAATAGTCCCAAAGTTCCACCTCCTTTGCAAAAGAAGTTGGAACTGGAGCAGTTGAAGGAGGAACTACGAAAGAAACGGGAATTGCTGGACCAGAAGCGGGATGACTTCCGCCGTAAACTGGACAAACTAGAGAAACAAGTAACACCTATCTTCCTTACCTTCACATTATGACTCATATTTATATTGCTAAATTATTTCACATGTTTTTATGATGCCTGTAATTTTGGGAAATTCCTTCTACTGTTTTCTTTTACAGGAGCTAAAATGTCAGTGTACTTACATTTTTAGTGGTTTCTGAACCAAAAATTTGAAAGATCCATGTTATCACGTTCTGGGTCATGAATTTACAAAACCAAAAAGCGCATATTCAATTCATTCATCAAATATAAACAAACTGCATTTTGTTACTATGACAGTGTCACTCAGTGGTTCTATTTATGTTACGGTATTGAGAAGTGTACTTATAAGAGATTACGTACACAAATAACTTACTTTCCATTCATCCAATAAATTTGGGATGTGAAATTGTTCATTAAGTACCTATGAAGACATCATTTCTTTACAAGGGCTGGTATTTTTTTTCTTATTTTTTTTGCAGTCTGGAGGAGTCAAGGGTGAGTTGGGGATGGAGCAAGCTGCTAAGAGACCTAAAGTAGGAGTAGCAGCTGATCGTGCAAAAGGTTCAGGAAGGTCCTCTGATCCTGGTGCAGTGGCATCACCACGTGCTGAAATGATGGTAGACAAGAACAAAATAGTGGACAGTGTTGTATCCCATAGTCCCAAATCAAGCACAGCCTTGGTGTTGCATGAATCTGCAAGCTTCAAGCAGCACATTCGTCCATTAGCAGCTGTAGGGCCTCCATTTTTGATGAATAGATACAAATTGGACAACCGACCTACCGCATTTAGAATTGTTCCACCTTTACCAGCAGGTTTGGCAGATGTAAGTCTCTCTTTCTCTCCCTCCCTCCCTCCTCACACTCCACCCTGTAGCATGCACTATATATAAGGTGCATTTCTTCACTGTGCTATGAGTAGGGGCAAGTTTTTGCTCGGTAATTTTTGTAGATGTTGAATCATAAACTCCTTGCTGTGAGGCAATGTGCTTTACCCAGGAGGTGAAGCATGAGAAAAGGCTTTTAGGATAATCCTCTGAGAAGGCATTGGAGATTTTTTACGTTTTATCACATAGGAATACAAATGAAAATAAAAAGGGGTGAGGAAGAACTAAATCAAAGGTTTGAGTTTAATTACTATGCTTGCAGATCTGCATGTATATGAGTTGATATTGATCATTAATATAGGTAATACCTTATAATTATGAGTTGTGAAAGGTTATGAAGAAATTTCAGTTTGAGTGCCTTGTAATTTTGATTGCTCAAGCAATAATATGAGGAACTAGACAGAAGCTTTTAGGGATTGGGACTTGGGAGACCTTTTAACCTTGGAACTTGAGAACAGTCAATTGAGCACCTAATTCTTTGGGCTATACATAGGCTTGTTATCCTTCCCTCAGACCAAGTATCCTGTAAGAAATACTTCTATAATGCATCTTAGCTGTAAATTATCAGTTTTCTGTCAGAATATAGTATCTATGCTCTGATGTGGTCTTTCTTTTTGATTAATGCGTTTACATAATCTTACTCCTAGGATCAGTTTTTTCATGCTGTATGTATGCACACTCAATCAAAAGGTAAATTGAAGCCTTAATTCCCTTCCAGGTTGCTGTCTTGAAGGAGCACTTTTCCTCATATGGTGATCTTTCTGCTGTTGAGTTGGAAGACTGTGAAGTCCATGACGGTGTTAATGGGTTAGATACAGAGAAAAACTGCTCGGCTCGTATAGCATTCACAACACGCCGTTCAGCTGAGAGGGCATTTCAAAATGGTAAATGCTGGCAAGGCCACAGTTTGCAGTTTACGTGGCTGATGTCTAGTGGCTCTGGCAATGACTTGGGTAACAGAGAAAATTCATTGTCTGCTCTTAAGGGATCTTCAGATGCTGATGTTCAGAAAGAAGAAAAATCAGCCTGCTACGTATCCCAGGAAGGTACTGCAGACACAGAAATTTCGTCATCTGCTCATAAGGGATCTTCAGATGCGGATGTTCAGGAAGATGAAAACTTAGTGTGCATCGTTTCCCAGGAAGGCGCTGCATCAGGGAATATGGAATCTGAAAATTCGGAGAGAAGAAGTAGTGTTGAGCATGCAGAATCGCATGAAGTTTCCCAGCCAAGCCCAACCGCAATGTCTGGCGAGGAAGAGTCTCCCAAGGACAATGTTTGTTGAGGAAGGGCTGATTGCTGGATTTGTACAGTGAGGTAAAATGTTAAATCCGTCGAATACTAATTTTCAGGAGACTTGTTCTAGCAACTGCTGAAATTTGATTTTCCAATATAATTTTTTCTTCTTTCGTTCTTTTTCAAGATGGGATATGTAAAAATGAAATTTTCGGATTTTTGGACTGCCACCATGATAATGGTTAGTTGAGTGGCAAATTTGTGTTGTCTTTCAGCTTAGATGTCTAGGAGTAAAGGATAAGTTGAGAAATTCTGTTTAAATTAATGAAATGGTTACATAAAGGACATTGAAGGATATTATTCCATATCCAATTTATCCAGAAATTTTTGTGACAATTTCTTCGTATGCATTATGTTTGTTCCATTCGCTATCAAATCAAAGAGATGATATCTTTCGTAACATTGGGTATGAGACAATTAGACATCATTTCTTTTTTCAATTCTAAATTAAAATTTAAAATACATATTCATTCTTAATATAATGTGTAAGACGAAGTACGAAAAACAATAGATCTTTGAAATGTTCCTGGAGATTGAAATTTGAATGCCCACAGGAATTTAGCAGCCACAATAACAGACCCTATTAACTCTTTTTTTTTATATTTATTTTGCTTGCATTAATATTTTAAATTAATTAAACATTTTGTTCCCACTCTTTTAATTTTCAAACGCCTAACCTTTATATCAGTCTCGGAAAACATTTCCGAAAATATTATTCCTTTATTACAGCATCTGAAGAAAGGTAAATCAGTAAACATCTGAACAAGTTCCATAGACTCTTTCTCAACTAAATCCAATTTTTTAAGGCAAACTTTACAGAAATATCTTGTTCTACCAGACAAAACAATCCACTGCTCATTACCACTCATCTAATGATGTTCTAAACAAATTTTTGAATCAAATTTTTTATTGAAAAATTGGATGATACAATAAGTTTAAGATAGAAATTTCTAGATTCATATTAACTGATTCTGCATACTCTACTAACTACACTTGGTGAGTATTATTCGCATTTCCATATATCACACGAATCTGACACAGTCAGGGGACTTGTCATTAGGTTACCTTGTTCTGATGTTGCTGTTGAGCAATAGTAACTTCCAAAACTTTGTCATCCACTTCACACAGTAAACTATAGATAAACTGAACCTATAATCATCTATCCAGGGAAGACAAGCGTCATCCCGTCAAAAGTTGCCGCTATTTTTCATTCCACCTGAAGCTTGTGCTTTTCTAATTCTATTCCTTTCCATAGACCATGGATCACATACTTGCATGTACGCCTATTTGGTGCATACCCCAGTTTCAATAACCTATGTTGCAGCCCCATCAACTTTGACAGATCACCATCTTCAGAAACGATGCTGAAAACTGCATTGTAACTTTCAGTATCAAAAATTTGAAACTCCTTGGCAAAGAAGCCCAGTAATGATTCTGCTTTATTAACATCCCTTTCTTTGCAGTATCCCTGTATTAATGCCCGGCATATCTGTGCATCAGGTTGCACACCAAATTCAAGCATTTCTCTCAACAAGGATAAAGCCTCCTCACTTCTGCTAGTTCTACACAAGCAGTGTATCAGAGATCTATATGTAAAAAGACTTGGTTTCATATTTCTATCCACCATCTCATCTTTCAGGATAAATGCATTGGTCACAGAATCACTTTCACAAAGAGACTCGATCAATTTATTGTAGATTTCCATGTCAGGCACAAAACCTTCCTGAGAAATCCTTTCCACAAGACTCTTAGCTGCAAATGGTCGATTTTCATGACACAAAGCAACTATTAGATAATTATATATAGTTTTAGAAATTGAAACTCCAAATCTCTGAAGCTCTACAACCAAATTTAGAGCTGAAAGCAGCCTACCCTCTTTTCCATATCCCTCTACAATAACCTGGCAAGCATAATTATCTGGAAAAATCCCATTTCCTATCATCTCATACAGCAATGACTTCGACTCTTGTATCTTTCCCTCTTTGCAATAGCCATAAATAAGAGTATTATACGAAACAACATCAGGATTCAATCCTCTATGAATCAGCTGATGGAATAGCTGATGAGCCTCTTTTATATTACCTTCTTTGCAAAGACCATTCATCAATGCAGTATATGTAACCAAATCAGGCAACACATTTCTCCTGTACATGATCCTATACAAATAAAACGCATCAGTTAACCTTCCCTTTTTACAATAGCTACTAATCAGCGTATTATACGTCACCAAATCTGGATCAAACCCTTCTTCTTCCATCTTTTCCAAAAACTCATTCACCTTATCAACACCTCCACCTTTGCAAAAAACATGAGTCAAGATATTAAAGGTATACGAATTCGGGTGTATCCCAGTTCTCTCCATGTCCTCATACACATGCCAACACTGATCAATACAATTCGACTTTAGCAGCCCATTTAAAAGACAATTGCAAGCAATTACACTAGGAAGAAAGCCGACCTCAATAGTCTTTTTAAAAGTCCTAAAACCTTCTCTAATCAAACCTACTTTTGTATAAGCCTTAATAAGCATATCAAAAACAACAGGATCCCAATTACAATCTTCAGTATGCAAAACCAAATCCTGGAAAACATCGACACTTTCTGAACTGCCCTTCACCAACTCAATCAGTTCACACAACAATTTCATTGCTAGCGAGAAATTTTTATTCCAAGCCAATATATGGACAATTAGACAATAGTTATGAGTAGTAGGCTTGATACCCAGATCATTTTTAACCCAGTAAAAGAAAGTGAGAGCTTTTACAGAATCAGATTGGCATCGAAGCAAAACCCTTGAAATTTCAAGAGCACCCAGATGAGGAAGAAGGCCTTTTATGTCATCCTGAAGCAGGGTTAAATGAGACTTGCTCTGATTGAGAGATGAACTAATAAGATTGACTATTTTGTTGGGGTTTTGTGTTTGGGGGAGAAAATGGTAGAGAGGGTTTGAGAGTGATTTGGACTCGGAATCTTGTATGGCTGGTAGAGAAGAAGAAGAAGAAGAAGAAGAAGAAGAAGAAAAGGTGAGTTTGAGTAAAGAGTTTCTGTTAAAGAATGGTTTTTTAGGTACGGTAAGGAGCATTTGAAGTTGTTTTGCTGAATAAGTTAAAGCTCGATTCATCAGAAGGTAACAACAATGAGAAAGAAGTGTACCAGGGGTCCAGGGCTTGATACTTGGATCAACTAAGCTATTGTCGTGCTGCTTGCTCCAAATACTGTATGGAGTATGGACTGTGAAAGTCTGGTACCTAAAAGAGTTCCGGTTTAATTTACAAAAAAAAAAAAGAGATATCCTACGGAAAACTTTTTTATATTTTATTTTAGAGTTAAAATGCCAGGCATGGGATATGTATAATAGTATTTTTTTTTTTTTTTCAGATTTTTGAAACAATAAAAATCTCTTAATCATTAACGAATAAATAAATATTTATACATTTTATTTTAATATAAAAAATTTATGTGCATAGAAATTTTTATTGTTTCATCAAATCTCAAGAGAATTTAGTTATTAACTCTTTATTTTTTTTTGCGATGAGTAAATTTTCAGTCTTTTATATTGGGGCTGGATTCAATTTTCTTGAATGAATTTTCCATTAAATTATAATGTTAATTTTTGGTTGTGAATATTACACATTTGAAGATTATGGTTGAGACTGTTGATGACATGTGTTATCTAAAAAATCGAGGTTGACGTTAGCCTACCTCAGCAAACACCAATAAGAATTAAGGAAGACTTTACGTCGTCCAAGAGCTGCCACGTTACTTCATGATAGAAAGAATATGGATGTCACCAACTTAGCAGATTCAGGTTTCGTCTATGAGTGACTGAGGAATGCACACCTGTCCAAGCCTAGATAATTTGAGGATATTTCTTAAGTTATCAGTTAATGAGAGGCAAGGAAGGACTTGCGCGACACCTACCCACTTGCAGATTTATAATCATTATCTTGAATTCCTTTACTATAAATAGAGGACTGCCCCTTTCATTTTCGGGATTCTAATACTAAACCCTCATTCTGATTGTAATATTTATTTTCAAAGCAAAGATAACCTACGGGAAAGAGACTGACTTGATATTCTCTTTGAATACTCAGTTATTGTACCTCTGTTCGCTATATGCGACCTCTTGTAATCTCCCATGTATAAAAGAAATGTGGACATAAGATTCGCTTTAAGCATCCGAACAACTTTAAAAATCATATCTCTCATTTATTATTCAGTCTTTGTATTTGATCATAGTCATTCACGTGTAATTTCTAAGATCAGCTTAACACTTTGCACGTGTGAGTCATTTGTGTCAAAATCATGCATCAACAGTTTGGCAATAGAAGGAGGGCTTGATTTTATACCTGCTCTTCATTCAGAATCTCTAATCAATCAGTTCTACTTGTGAATAAATGGCTTGTGGTTTTGAAACCGAGCAAACTAGCACCAACAATGAGGAAATCCCTCGAGTAAAGGATGTTACTTCTCCCGAAGTGCCTCCAATTCCTCAAGGTACCATGGCGGACATTCCCTCGACCTCTTAGCTCGATCCAACTATGATGAATTACCTGGAAAGGTTCAATAATACTCTCCAAATGTTTAACCAAAGGTTAGATCGTTTGGATCAGGTTGTACTACCCAATTCTGATAAGGCGGTACCATTTCTAAAAACGCTTGTAGGTCACGCTAAAGCGTGGAAACAGGCGAAAGCTCATACCACGCGTACTACAGCGTGTAAAAATAAGAGAAAGTAGGTGGCTGACAATGGGCCAAGAGGCTTGAAAGGACTAGTGAATACTGGTCGTGAGGCAGGTAGAATACATGTGGCTTTGCGACTTAGTGGTATGTCACATCATGAGCCATCTCAAGCCACATCACATGGGCACCCTCACAAGAGTGCACGACATAGAGATTCCCACTATCGTCAGAATGATGGTTTCGACCATCACTGCGAGGAAAATACCCACCGAACGCAGGTTGGTTTTGACCTCTACAGAGGTCAAGTTAACTCCTCAAGCCATTCAATGCCTTCACATGGCTTTAGCCAACATGTGTCAAGGTATGCCGGAGGTTCCAGTCGAGGCAAAGAAGAGTCCAATTTGCGGTCTTTCCTCAATCGCAATCATGAGGAGCAAACCCTCATTGTAGAAAGTGATCCTCAGGTGGCTCCACTTCCTCAAATTGAGGAGTTACAATGAGCTCTAGATCAGCTTAGAGCTCACCAGAATGAGTGAGGGAAGGTCGTTGAGGCGTCTCCCTTTTCTCCAGTAGTGTTGACTGTTCCTCTCCCGTCAAGGTTTAGAATGCCCGATATGCGAGCATTTGATGAGAATTATGATCCGTAGGATCATCTTTATGAGTTTAACGACCTCATGGAGCTTCACCAAGTTTCCAACTTGGCGAAATGTCGCTGCTCAGCAGTGACTCTGACTGCCCATGCTAAGCGCTATTAGTAAATGACCCATTTACGCAGTGAAAAACAAAAACATAAACAACATGGATTGTTCCTTAGAACCAAGATCTGGGTACAAATTTACAGTTTATACAATATATATTAAATATGCAGAAAAATCAGTTCAAGGTTTAAGAAATCATACGCACGTTTGGAGGTTCCTCCAAGTTGTCTTTGAACGTATTTTTGCTACCGACCCAAGTGTAGCATCGAACCGACGTAGTCCACACGAAGATAATCACAAGGAACTAAAAAGGGATTTGCTAGATCCTTTTTAGTCTTAAGAAACAAAGAAGAAGAATGAAGAATATTTTGATTTTCAATCAAAACCTAAGACTGGCGTGTGAGAGTGAAATAAGGGTTGTGTGTTTTCTTTCTCTCAATGAATGAATGAAATGAATTTCTTAACTTGTTTCTCAATTAAGCTTTTGTTTAAATAGTCAAGTTTAATTGCCCTATTCCCATATGGAATAGGCTTGGGCTCCAACCTAAACACTCCTTGTTTCCAAACACTCCCAATTAGATATTTATTTTAATTCATCATTATCTCAATTAATATATATATATATATATTAACATTTAACAATAATAATAATTTATTTAAATATATGCGAAAACACATTTAAAGGTAATTTCACTTATTTAATTTTTGTAATACATTAAATAAAGGCTACGACCTTATCAAATTTAATTGTACTATGAAATTACCAAAATACCCTTTTGCCTAAAAAGACAAAAACGCACTTCTAACTTCCTGGCTCTTAAATTATCTTCTATGTGTGTGACCCATAGGCTCCTCATCATACCAGCAGTGTATAGTATCACGATTAACACCAATTAATCATCTCACTATACACAGACCAAGATTGGCCCCTAGCAAGGCATCATGGCCACCCAATAGATTTGGATTCAGCAAAGTAGCTACCTGTCAACGATATGATTACCGTGCAATTCGATCATTTCATCATACATTATCTCGACGAGACGAAGGCATAGAAATAGTGTCAACCTTCGGTTACTCTCAATATTATGTATTCAGTTTTTGGACCAATTACCTGCATTATAAATTGGATAGAGTAACAACTCAATCCCACCGTGGCCATAGTTTTAGTGTCATTGCCATATACTGAATTGCGTCATGAGATAACTTCTCCCATACCCGAGAGTGATGAATCCTCTGTCTATCCACCATAGTCTTGATACACTCCTTGATGCAGCCAATCACCACCGTATTGACAGCTCTGAAAAGAACCGCGTTAGGCTAGTGTCAAACTACACCAATCGGTGCACAAGGCACTCCGGTGATCTCAAGTCTAAGGATCACATGCATCACCATTCGTTAGAGGATTTGTTCCATAGACACTGGGGTTACCATCCATATGGAATCCTCTAGTGGGTCAATCCAGTGAACTTGCTGCGGTGTATTTGCCTACAGCAAGCACCCATGTGTTGCACTAGGTTGTCACCAAACAACCTTAACAAGTGAGATCAGTCACTGCCTTTCGACAGGGTCGTTCAACACTATAATAACCTTACCGTATTATCTGTGCCCTTACTTTAGAATAATACTAGGGCTATGGACGTTTCTAGAATGGCCACCATATGTGCTCATAGGGTTCTCACTATCAAGATTTGAAACACTTGATACCCTCGTTACGGTTCTACCATTTTCAGGACATATATCTATAAATATTGCAATAATAATGATTTATGCGATATAGAATAAAATGCCTTTTATTGATTAATGAACATTATTACAAAGAGTCAATTCTACAATAATTGATTGGCTCTAGGGCATCTACTCTAACAAGCGTTGGTTCAGATCGCTTCCACCATGCTCTGTCAACTCATGACAACATATGAGTTTGTTGTTTTTGAGATACTTCCAGGCTAATAGGAAGCTCTCAATGCCGTTGAGCTATCTGAACAACATATGGCAAGAGAGGAATGAATCCCTACATTCCTATATTGATAGGTTCCACAAAGAGCTGAATAAGGTGGCTAATACACCCGAAGATTCAGTTCGAACTCCTATTATTGCGGGAGTTTACCCGCAAACCGACCTGTGGAAGAAACTGCAATCCGAGGATGATATTTCCCTCATTCGCTTCTACAAGCTCACTGAGAAATATCTCAGAATTGAAAATTCAGTGGCTGCTTTGAATCACCATGACCCCGGTCTTTCAACTAGCGCTCCTAGTTGGAGGGAGAAAAACCGGGAAGAGAGTAGTAGAAGGCCTGATCACAAATAAGCTAATGACGATCAGGGAAAGGGAAAGAAACAATGGTTTGAGCCCAAGAAATCTTATGCCCAAGTTCCTCATCGCGATCATGATAAGAATCAGTACACTCCATTGAATGCATCTGTATCAGCTATTCTAGATAAATCAGAAGAAGTTAATTTTCTTGGAGAGTTGGAGCCCATGAAAAATCCCCCTTCTTTAAGAAATAGCAAGAAGTATTGCCGTTATCATCGGGACAATAAGTACCATATCGAATGCCAAGCTCTTAAGCAGGTTATTGAATACCTTATTAAAAAGGGGCACTTTAAGGAGTATATTGATGGTCCAACTCTCATTCGAGAGAAGGATGAAAAGGATGATGGGAAGAAGCGCCATGGTCATAAAGGCCTCCATTTCGTCAGAATTATATTTGCAAGGTCACACTCCGTGGGGAATTCTTGAGGTGCTTAGGAGAAGTACGCTCAAGAAGCTCGTAATGACCTTGTGAGTGTGTGAAACATGACGTAGCGACCTGCTAAGGTGCAAAAAGGAGGAGATTACTTTCT